CTAAATTGACTTGGCATCTTCTGCAGATATTGCTGCTGTGGCTGTGCATTTTTTAAATATAAATGAGGATTGGACCGGCTTAAATTAGTTCCTAATTCAGCCATTTTACTGCAGAAGATGAGAAGCTCATAGATCAAGTGAATGAGAAGCCGGGGCTCTTCTGTTTGCCAGAGATCAGATTAACTTGATCTGTACTTACCAGTGGTAGGAAAGTGGAATATAAAAGAGCACAGGTAATTATCCGCAGGAAATATTACTCCATTATGTATCTCTGGATAAGCAGAAGCTCCTATACGCAGTAAGTCAAAGTGCTTATAAGATTAAATTTCTATTTCTCAACTGAGAGCGATGTGTTATATGTAAAGAATTATATGGAGTACTAAGCACACAACATTGGCCCTATCATTAATCCAGAATGCCAAATAAAGCTGTCTCCTGAAAAGAATGTATATACTTACTAGGGATGCACCGATATATCGGCCGCCGAAACATATCGGCCGAAAATGGCACTTTTGGCATAATGCCGAAAGTGCCATGTTTCGGGCCGATACATCGGCACATCCCTGCTTTCTCTCCCCCCCTGTGTGTGTCCCAGCGGGGAAGAGAGAAAGTGTCACAGGCGGCTGAGCGGTGTGTGGGCGAGACAGGCCGTGCTGTCACAGGTGGTGGAGCTCTCCTCCCTGCTCTGCTCGCTCAGCCTCCTGTGACAGCGTGTCAGAGAGGAGAGCAGGCTACATACACTCAGTGATCGCTGAGTGTTTGTAGATAATTGAGGACATGGTATGTTAACTATATCCTCAATTATGAATGAATGAGAGTGATCTACATCACCTCCTGTTCGTTCATAATTGTAGTTATAGTAAACATACCATGTCCTCGTGTTATCAATGAACAGAAACACTCATAGAGGATTTCTGTTCATTGATAACTGAGGCTGCAGAAAAAGAGATAGAGGACTTTGTGTCCTAAATCTCTTTTTCTATTTTAAAAGGGAAATATCAGGGGTCTGTTTAGACCCCCTATACTTCCCTGAAAGTAAAGTAAAAAAAATTTATTTAATTAAAAATGAATTAATAAATATAAAAAATGTAAAAAGTTTAAACAAAAAAAATATTTAAAAAATGTACAAAATTAAAATAAAAACATTTTTGGTATCGGTTTCGGCCTGACAGTTTTTTTTATTTCGGTTTTAAAATTTCCATTTCGGTGCACCTCTAATACTTACCTCTCCTTCTGCCTGTGCTGCCAAACGGTGCTCTGGGAATGAGAAATCATCCACTAAGTCTACTGGGAAACTGGTACTTTGGGGAGTGTCAATCTGCAGTGCTCAGTGGTTCTTCCTTTCAACTTCTACAGAACTTACATTTCTGCAGTAGCGCTGGACCAATAGTAGTAGAAACTGGTTTTGATGTAAAGCTGAAAAAATGGGGGACATACTCTTTGAGGGAGGAAACCTGTAATGGCAGCATGCAGTGTATTGACGTGGTTATGGTCCAAGGCTGATGCCTCTCTGGTCGCAATGTGGGTATCACTCAACAAAGCATCAAATCCTGGATGTGTGGTTAGGAGTACCTCTTAAAAAAATGTTGATCTCGCTTGAAAGTTCCTCCAGGTCACATGTCAAACACGAGGGCCATGGCCTGAATCCGGCTAGCCAGGCTATTTCATGTGGCCCTTGTAGGTCTAGTGCAGCTACGGCACTCACCTTGTCTCAGCAGTACACAGCAGAGAGGAGGACAGAACAATATAAATATACTGAATAGGAAGGCACAGGTATCGGTGCCGATACTGGGCATTTTCACAAGAAGTACTACTTGTGAAAATGCCCCAATACTAAGCACCAGCACTTTTCATTTTTAACCCGAAGTCGGCCTTGTAAACAGGCACCAAGCAAGGTACCAGCACCCTTACTGTGTATCGCAGTGCCTGTTTACAGCACCAGCAGCAAACCACCTCCTTCCTGTGGTTCCACGCCACCTGCAACCGCAAGACCAACTGGGACCCCTGATGAGACCGCACAGCCACCTGAGAGTCCACTCAGCCCAGCATAGACCCCGCACAGCCCATGTGAGAACCCACACAGACCACCATAGAACCTGCACAGCCACCCGAGAGTCCACACTATTACTGTCAGTGGTTCTACCTGCTGAGCCACCTTAGCACCTTAGAACCTTTGATAGCTCCTTGCCTGATCTCCTGTGTAATCCTCAGTTAAACCTAGTTTCTGCTGAACTCCTTGCTCCTCCCTTGAACTTCCTATTTAAGCCATGCCTCTGCACTTCCTGTTTGCCAGATTATTGTGCTCCTGCCAATATCTTGCTTCTTGTTCTTTCTGTGATACAATCTGCTCATACTACTACCCGTGTACCGACCTTTGACTGCTGATTCACCGACTACTCTCATCGTCTTCTGCTTCATACCTGATACCTTTGGCTACTGACCTCGGCTTGTTCGCTGACTATGCTTCTGCCTGCTCCTATACTACTACCGTCTGCTTGTATACCACACCCGGCCTGTTATACCACAAATTTGCCTGCTGTTTCAGCTACTGGACTCTGAGCCTGATCCCAGATCGTGACAATTAAACTAATTGCCTTTATTTTTCCTAGACTTCTACTTTCAGAGCCAGTTATTAAGTTATTACTAAAACCGGTAATAATTAAATGCAGAGGCTATTATTTAATATGATAAAGTGTAGATACATTTATATAGTCTTACAGCTATAGCGGGCTCTTTGAGGGCAACCATAATGCTGATGCGGCCCGTGATGAAATTGGGTTTGACACCCCTGGTCTAGGTTGTTCATTTGAATTGATATGTCAGATACAGCCAAAACATTTTAGGGGAATCACCCCTCCCCCCTTCAGGCTTGAGCAACAAAAAGAAGTAATGGATTCAGGAAAACCTATACTTTGTTGCCTGAATTAGAGCTGGATGAGTGTGGAGTGTCAGCATAACCTGACACTGCTGCAACTCCACACTTCATTACAATGAGGATTGGATCTGTATCTGGGAGTCAGATTCCCCCAGAAAGCATTGGCAGTATCTGACATATACATTCAAATAAACAGCCTAGACCAGTGGTGGCGAACCTATGTCACGCGTGCCAAGGAGAGCACGCAAGGTCCTTTCTGCTGGCACGCGAGCCCAGGTTCAGGGACCACCAATTGAAATAGATTCGACTGACCCGGATCGCCTTGGTACGCGATCCGGGCCAGTAACAATTAGGCAGCGGTGGCGGCCAATGAACAGGCAGGTTAGATGGCTGCTTCCTCCTTGCTAGGACCCAGGGAGGCCCCTGCGAGCGGCCGTCTAATCTGCCTGTTTAGAGGTCACTGCCGCTGCCTGATTGTGGCCGGCCCGACTACAGAGGCGATCTGGGACGTTCGGATCCCCCGTGAGAGCCGCACAGCCTTCCCCCAACACCTGAACAGTCGCGCAATCCCGGCCGTGCGGAAATCCGCCCAGGTGAGAGTCGCTCAGTGTGAATGGGGCCTTAATGTTTGAATATGCGGGTTTCCCTATTTTGCCTATGGCAGTAATGTTGAATGTTTCTTAAACCCGAGCGCCCAAACTGCAATACTAAACTTATTTTCAGCGCTGGCACTTTGAGATAAATAAATTGATTTTGCGTCGCAGTTTGGGCGCTCGGGTTCAAAAAGGTTCGCCATCACTGGCCTAGACGAACCTTCAGGCGAGATGGCCATATTTTTAAGAGGCGCGCTTAACCACACATTCAGGACTTTTACACGACACAGTAGACCTGGCATGAGAGAAATAAGTGGGCTGTTGTTGCTGACCTGAAATGCTAGTCCACGTGTGTCATGGTAATCATCTAGCTTCAGTACTGTGAGAAACTGACCTGGAAGTACAAAGATTAGGAGATCCAACTTCACTTGCTGTATATGCCTGAGGACTATCATCTTCATGAAGTCAGTAGATGTGGTCCACATATCTCTCTCTTTACAGGTTTCTTTTCAATAACTTTGTCATGAGAAACGTACAGTGGCTGCCGTTGCTGGCCCCCTTTTGGAAATGCTAGTTGCCTGGATGTCTTGCTTCCATAGTTTTGAATCACAAGCTGCTCCAGGTTGGGGACTCAAAAAGCACTGAAGCCAAAGCACCATCATCACAGCCAGGAAACTAACATTCTCAAAGGAAAGCTCAGAAATGGCAACCCCATACTTTTCTTTTGACAGAGTCACAATAAAGTGCATATCCAACCAAAATTTTCTTTTTTATATATAGTTTGTGATAGAGGAAGGATGAGAACTTTAGTTGGGTTTTTACTTCTTTGTGGCGCTCCGTTAGAGATTCCCCCACTTACTGTCCTGGTAACAACCAGACAGAAAGTGAGAGAAAATCCCCAACAGCAGGGTTGTGGAGTGTTGGTTACATAGTTAGTCATGTTGAAAAAGGACACAAGTCCATCGAGTTCAACCTAGTTAGTAAAGTACAGTTAATTTACGGCAGTTGTTGGTGGTGGGAATGCTGCAAATGACATGAATTTGCCCCATCATGGAGATCCAGAGATGATGAAGTGTCTTTCAAGGACCACAGCTATGCTTCTAGCCAGCAGTATGGATGGTCCTAGTTTCTGCTATAAAGTCACAAAGTTCACACAGGGGTCTGTGTCTTCTACATCTGTCCTTTTCTAAATTAACATTCCCATTTATTAAACTTTATTCCGCAAACATTCCATTTGCATAAGTAAGAAGATCCTTCCACGTGATTTCCCATTGTCGTAAACTGGAAAATAGTGTATTTTGTATTAACCTTTAATTGAGACATTGCATTTGACTATTTCATGCGCAACATCCTGTTATTTAGCGTTTTATAGCTTATTTAGCTTGTTTAAAATCAGTGTAAGAAAAGAAATGAACAGGATTCTTCTTCACTCTGAATGGGAGAAAACTTTTCTTCAGAAATTGTTATGGAAGAAACCCGCTGTGGTCAAAAGTATGACTATGTGTCTTGTTCTTTTGTTGTTTTATGTGCAGAGCTTCCAGCACCTCTTCCAGCTTCAGCAAGAACAGCTCTCAGAGCCAGCCATCACAAGCCGCCTTCTTTATTGATGATGATGACGAAGAGGTGAGATATATGTCTCTGTTATTTGCCAGATATGTTTAATAAAACAAAGAGTAATGTTCTGAGTGCACAGAAAAGAAAATCCAGCAGCACAGTGGAATTGTAGTGTTGCTGTGAATATGTGGCTTTGTACATTTTCTATATATATTGACTACAAATTTTGGAGCACTCTTCTTTCACCAACTGCTTCAGGTCTCTCGGATTGGAAAGGTTCCATTTCCCAGCTGCTGTTTTGAGATCTCTCCACAGGTGCTCTATGGGATTTAGATCTGGACTCATTGCTGGCCAGTCCAGTACTCTCCAGCGCTATGTCTGAAACCATTTCTGGGTGCTTTTTGACGTGTGCTTTGGGTCATTGGCCTGCTGTAAGACCCATGACCTCTGATGGAGACCCAACTTTCTGACACTGGGCCCTACATTGCACCCCAGAATTCTTTGGTAGTCTTCAGATTTCATAATGCAATGCACACAGTCAAGACATCCAGTGCCTGAAGCAGTAATGCAAACCCAAGACATCAGTGAATCTCCACCATGTTTGACTGTAGGGACTGTATTTTATTTTCTTTAACCCCCTTCGTGACTGACGACGTTGCATACCAGCATCGGGGCTGTTTAAACAGACTCCCGGCGACTTTTGCCGCCGGGAGTCTGTTTAAACTTGTAGAGCCGACTGCCGGCTTTGCAACAGAAGCGATCCTGGCGACTTACCTGTCCCCCCATCCCTTCTGCG